AAGTCATACCCACCGGTATACATCCCGCCCGACGACACGAACACGACCCGGCTGCCCTCCGCCTTCCTGAGCGCCGGCAGCAGCCGCGCCGCGAGCGCCAGTCCGCCGAGACTGTTCGTCGCGAACGACCGGTCTAGTCCGTCCGCGCTCGCGCCGCGCTCGGCCAGCAGCGCCCCCGCGTTGTTCACAAGCGCGTGCAGTCCGCACCCCGAGGCGAGGAAGCGCTCCGCGAACTCTTTGATGCTTCCGAGGTTTGACACGTCGCAAACCTCGATCTCCAGATCGCAGTCGGCGGCGCCGGCGGCGGCCGCGTCGCGGCGGATCGCCGCCGCCGCGGCCTCGGCGCGCTCCCTGCTGCGGCAGGCCATGACGACGGTCGCGCCGGTGGCTGCGAGCGCGGCGGCGGCGGCGCGGCCGAGGCCGCTGTTGGCGCCGGTGACGACGACAACCTTGCCTTGATGGTTGCGCCGCAGGGCGCTGCATGGGGGGGAGGTGCAGCGAAACGCGGAGGGACAGAGGAGAGAAAAGTGACCGTGTGCGGTTCTGGGAGGGGCGGATGCGAGCATGGCTCGACGAAACGAGGTCCGCTTGCCGCCGGCTGTGTGTGCGGTGTGCCGATCTGCTGCTGATCCGGGCCTGCGTCGGCTCCCGCCCTGCGCCCCGCTCCCCCTCGCCCCGGCCCCGGCCGCTGCGGCCGCGGCCGCTGCCGCGCCTGCGCAGCCACGTATGCGTATGCGCGCTCGCCTGTTATCGAAGCGCGCGGCAGCCCTGTCGTAGCCCTGTTTGGTGAAAGCCCGCAGTCCAAATGCAAACCACGTGAGATTTGTGAGCCATTTGAGCCCCATGGCGGCTCTGTTGCCCTGGCAGTGCTGCGGTGGTGCCGCTGTGCTGGGGCAGCTGAGGATGCTCTGCAATGTGCGCAAGGTGTCAGCGTCACTGGTGTCGCCAGACGAGCGGACTGCTACGGCCTGTGTCCAGGGTGTTGCAAAAAACTAGTGGTTTGCTAGCGATCCAGCCGGCCCACGCCGCTGGAAGGAAGCAGAGGTCTGTGCGAGCTACCGCAGCTAGTGCCACTGCCGATGGATTCAAAGGTGCCGAATCAGCAATGGGTTGATGCATGTATCGCAGGTCAGCTGAGCCCATACACTTGTATAACACAAGAGCGTGTCTTTCAGATCAGCAAATCCACAGTCGTGCAGACCAACAGCTGCAGCTCGGCAATCATGCCTCCTGGTTCGACGTAGCACCACATCGTAATGCAGGACCAGACAGCGGTCCACCGGCTCGTTCTTAACATGGGGGACGAGCGCGGCGGCCGCGCGAGAACGACGACCATCCACAGCGTGCGCTCGCTCTCGCGCTCCCCCTCGCCCACCCGCTCCCCCACGCGCGCCCCCAGCCCCGCCCGCCGCGCCAACGGCGCGCCGCTGCCGGGCAAGCCGCGCGCGGGGCGGGAGGCGCGGCGGCGGCGGGGGCGGCGGGGGCTTTTACTCGTCCTGGCGGCGGGCGCCTGGGTGACTGCCAGCTCGGGCGCAATTCTCATCAACAAGACCATCCTTGTGGATCTGCAGTGAGTGCAGCATGTCTCGAAGAGATCTGATCCATCATAATTGCAGAGGGGAGCGTGCAGCGGAATGCAAAGGCGTGACGCACGCCAGGCAGTGTCGCCTGTGCAGGCCATCGGGCGCAGTGCACGGATCCCATGCGCATGCCTGGCGGGCAGGCGCCCAACCCTCCATTCCTCATGATTGAGCGCCACCTCAGCCTGCCTGCACAAAGCTTCCGACGTCAGCCGCGCCTGTCCCACCCTTCAAATCCGGAGCCCCAGAGGCGACGCTCGGCTCGGGAAGCCCAGCCCTGCCCCGCCC